CAAATCTTCTAATTCGATTCGGCTTGGGTTTTCCATATGGAACCCATTTATTCCATATTGAACCGAATAAAAAATTAGGTCAGTCCAGCCGGTTACCCACTTATGCACTTACCCTGACGGACTTACCCATAAGCGATTAAGCGATAATACAAAAAAAACCCTAAATTTAAATAGCAATATTTTCTCCACTCTTCTCCAGCCCGTCACCCATTCGTTCTTAATTCTGCACTCTCCCCAGTTTTCACCATTTTCATTTATGCAACGATTCGACAGAGCTTCAAGTTTTCAACTATAACGATTCGACAGAGCTTCATTTCTTACCCTTCATCTTGGCATCTTGAACGTGATTTCATAAGGTAAATAATATGAAAATATTTTTGGTCTATTAATTTTGGGGTGTGAATTTAGGGCTTTTTGTTCAATGTTTGTAGGCCGTGATAGTTGTTTTCCTCGCTTCTATCCTTGTTAATTCTACTTATTCGAGTTTGTATTGCTTCGATCTTTACTATTTTCTTATCTTGCATTTTGCATATCAATTGTGAATTTTCCATGCATGATTGAATCGCATTGCATGTAGCGGTCACTATAGCTGGAGAGGTTATGCCACCTGCATTCTTACAACTATTTTGCCACTAGAATAAGCTATACACTGAACAAATTTATAAGTGAAGCTCAGATTATGCGACACTTACTGGTCTCACCTCTATGATTTTGAAATTTTAGTCATAATTTACTACTTGCTAGTCAAATACCCATGTCTAACAGGTGAATTGATAAGTATTATTTGACATACAACGTATCTGCTGCAATATTTGAAGTTCAATCAAATGAAAACTTGAAACCTTGAATCTCAATTTCACCAGAATCTATACAAAAGCTTTCAATGGATAAGTTCAAAGGGTGAACTTTTCATATGAAATAAACTTTCATGTTTATTCACCATAGTTCTTCAATTATCCATTTATTCTATGTTCATTTTCTTGAGGTATTCATGTCCATCACATATGTCCTAGATATGTTATGATAATATTATTCTTCATATATATGAAAGATTTTAGAAAATATGAAAAGTACAGCTTAATGTAGGAAACAAATTTCCTAGAAAGTTAACCCGGTTTAAAATAGAATTCCATATCTAGTGGCCACAAAATTATCTTTACATGAAACAAAACCAGAGGCCAATGGTTGTTTTGGTATTTAAGTAGGTCTTTCAGTTATCAATCCTTTTCATATTAATAATATTTTCTGCAAACCAAATAAAAACCACCAGTTGGATTGATAAAGAGATGTTGCTAGATGTGGTACTACTATTTTTCAGTCCTTATGCAACCTAGTCTCATTTGTAATTTCCTAAAATTGGGGTTAATGACTAAATTAAAAGATTCTAAAATTTAGTACCAATCTCAGAAAAGATTAAAAGGTTAGGGACTTAAATGAAAAGTGTTGATGTTGGATTTAATAACAAAGTTTGAAAGTAATAAGGGTAAAATGGTATTTTCTAAGGAAGGATTTTATTTCTCCCTTTATACAGGAGAGCAACACGTAGTATAGAGAGAAAGGAAAGAAAATTCTGGAACTTGTTTTCTCTTCTTCCTCTTCTCTTCTCGTAAGCTCCATGGCAAAGGTAAGTTGGTTTCAAGTTGATTAATTCTTTCGTTTTAAAGTTGGTTTTGATTCTTAGAGTGATACAAAAGATTAAGGAAAGCTTAATATGGATTAAAACTCAAAGATTATGAAGTTATGAGAGATTGAAAATAAGAGGTTTCAAATTGAAATCTTGGAAAAGAGTTAGTAATTGAAGTTGAAAGTTAAATTTGACTTGTCATCTATGAGAATAAGAAGTTATAAGAATTAGAATTAAGTTTAGATAACATGGAAAATGTGGTAAAATTCTTGGTTTTAAGGATTTGGGAAATATATGGAAGAAAATAAGGTGTTGGAATGATAGAAGTTTGTTAAAGTGATCATAGTTAAGTTTGGTAGCATAACTAGGGCTTAATACTGCAAAATTTGGGTAAAGTGTTGATAATTTTTGGGTAAAAACAACCTATTATGGGAAGGTGCATCGATGCACTATGAATGTATACCGATGCACTAAGAATAATTTTGAATATGCATCGAGGCACACTGGAAGGCATCGATGCATGATAATTTTGAAGATATTTTGTGTACTGATACACTTATAGTGCATCGGTACACCCCTAAAGGAAAAAGTGAATATTGGTCTGTTAAACTCATTCAAGTTATTAGCATCAAATTACAAGGTGTAGATATCTGATAATTACCTTAAAATGTGTATTTATGTAGATATTGAGCATGAACAAGTTCCGGAACGATTATCAAGTTAAGATTCGATCGGAAGAAAGGAAATTATAATAGTGGATTGGAACTTAGTTAGGCCAAGGTGAGTGCATATTAGATAGAATATGATGTTTAATGGAAATAAGACTTGCGATAAGTCTATTTCCTATAGTGTTATGCATAAATTCATGAACCTGAGCATGTATTTGCTATGAGTGTCTGAACTATATGTTATTGTATGTGTGTGACATGATTTGAATTAATGATATGAATATGTGATATACGCGTATAAGAGATTAAGTGAATGAACCTAGATGATAAACATGATAATATATATATATATATGTGTGTTTTTGTAATCCATACAAAGTAATATGAGCTATGGGATATATGAATATGAAATCATATGAGAAGTGAACTATGTGATATGAGATATATGAAAGGGAAAGTACATATGATAGGTGAATCATATGAAAATGTTCTATGTGTAAGTGAACCATGTGTCTATATGTATATGTGATTTATATGACAGTGAGCTATGTGAAAGAACTATGAGACTACGTGTATATGTAAATGTGTGATAACATAACTATTAATGCCCATGTTATGTGACATGAGAGCTAGAGGTATAGTTGGCATGCCAAGAGTCGAGGGTCTACACGGTCCTTCGGGACATATATGTATTCTTTGGAACATGTGTGAGGTCTTTTGAGACACATACTTGATCCTTGGCATATGTATATGGTTCATAAGGAATTTTCTACGTGGTCCTTATGGACAATCTTATATGGTACTTTGGTGCATTTCTACGCGGCACTACGGTGCAATTCTATGTGGCACTTAGGTGCATTTATACGAGCTGTGGTGACAGCATAGTGCACAATCTCACAGTACTCACATACCTTAAGTTCTCAATAATGTACATGGGCTAATAAAGAGATAATAGAAATAAATTTGATATGATTGTTATGTAATTATGTGCTTGAATATGAGTGTAATGGTTGTATGTATTGCACATGTTATTATCTATGTTAAAAATTATGTTCGTTTGATATGTTGGAATATAAGAGATTATAATGAACTTATATGATATGTTTCAAGTAATTACATGAGAAATATTATGAATTCCATAAGTATAGTTATGATTGTATAGTGAGAATATACTTTGTAAATGAACTAGTATAATAGAATTATACTTGGAAATGAAAATTTAGATAAATTAATGGAGATAAATAAATAGTACATCAAATAGGAAATATATATAGAAATAGGTTGTATAGAAAATTTCCATATGTTCCAATGAAATGATGATTTAAAATTAGTTCAATTCTTAAGTGATATAAAACATAGTACAATGATCTAGGAAATGAAATCATATGAGAACATTATAGAAATTAAAATTGTAATAGGTTATGATAATATGTTTATGTGAAAAATTGTGTGAAAAATGAACTAATAGAATATAAAGAATTAGTACACAAAGATATGATATAGAATATGTAGCAAGAGTCTATGAGTTATATGATAAATAGTAGTAATTGGAAATAAAAAATAAGATAGATGACTATAGTATAGATATTATATGACTAAGAATTATGAAAAAGGGAATGAGTTAAAGGATAACAAGTGAATGTGTTATAAGCTGAGTAAGGTAAAATAAATGATTTTATGAACATGAAACAATACACAATACTATATGATACTATAATATAATTGTAGGTACATATTTGTTACATGAATGTGTATATGGGGCTTTATGATTTGATTGTATGGAGTATGCATTAATTGTTAAGAGTTATAGTTACCTTGTACGTTTTATATGCCTCACTAAGTCATCGAATTCGTGTGTGAGTGTTTCACACGTAGGATTCTGGAAGCAAATAGAGAAGTGAAGCAGCAATAGTCAAGGCAAGGCATGTCAACCTCTCCTTTCCTATGATCAGATCAGAAAGAGTTTAGAATTATTTGTATTTGGTTATTGAAAATAGTTGGCATGTAATTAATGTTTTGAATTATATACACTCTGATCAGTTTTGAAGATACTTTTATTTTAATGATATGAATTATGAGTTTATATTGAATAAAAGTGGAATTTTTCATATTGGTATACAAATATAAGTTTTGAAAAGTCAATGTGACACCTCGGACTCGGATTCGGGTTGGATACGAGTTGGGGGTGTTATATCATTCCTGCTCAGGATTATACTGAGAAGATAAATATAATGAGATTATTGGTGGAAACTGTCGTTTCTATCAGAATCTGTACAATTAGGTGGGATCTTGACATTTCCCCCTTTTTAAACAGGATTTGGGAACAGATGGTAAAGAAAGATATTGACAATATCCTTTAGTTGGAAGATGATTGCCTTCATCTTCTTCTTCTTGCACAATCTGGCAATAAGTTAACTTCAAATGCAAGTTGCTTCCTTTAGGTTAAACAAATCTCAAATTTTGATCCTTTTATGTTATCGAAGCCTCCCTTACATGGCTATTTGCACAACTAGAAAGTGAGATGAAATTTGATCCCTAAGTCAAACTTCTTGTAGCTTAATGAACCCAGTGACACATGCCATGTTGACATAACTCATCCCTTTGCTTATCTCATACTTCATGATTTGATTCAACTTCCTCTATTTGCTTCAACTTTCTCATTCTTCAATCTTTTCTTGTCATTGTAAATTATTTTTTCCCTTCAGAGAATGAAATCTTCATCATCTAGTGCTACTCCAATGTTTTGCATTGATGTTGAGATTCCTTGTGATACTCCAAATAATTCAAATGATGCTATCAAAACTGATCAATCAGTTGCAGCTTCTTCAAGCATCCCATCGAATCTTCAACAGCCTTTAAAAAACATGAGGCAGGTTGGGTACCACAAGTTTTATAGTTTGGGAACATTTTACAAAATTACCTTGTGTAGTTGGAGATATTCCACAATGTAGCTATAATTATTGTGGAAAACCCCTTAAATGTCCAACTAAAGGTGGAACTAGTGTCATGCATAATCATATGAAACATTTTCCTAAGTACACATTTAACAAGGTAGATGAAAAACAACATAATTTGTGTTTTAAATCATATGAGGATGGGCAGCAAAGTTCAGGTTCAATTATTTGGAAATTTGACCAAACACAATGTAGAAAATATTGTGCTAGGATGATTATCATGGATAAATTGTGTTTTAGAGTTGTTGAGCATGAGGGATTTTGAGATTTTTTCAATATGATGCAGCCTAGATTCCAAGTTCCCTCTAGGTTCACTATAACAAAGGATTACATGGAAATTTACTTGGAAGAAAAAGATAAACTTTTTAATTATTTTAAGAGTTTCAATCAAAGGATTTCTCTCAGTACTGACATATGAACTTCTAGGAAAAACCTTAGTTATTTGTGTCTCACTGTTCATTTTGTTGATGATGAATGGAAATTACATAAATGAATCTTAAATTTTACACCCATTCCAAGTCATTCGGGTGACGTGATAGGGAAATGCATTGAAAAACACTTGCTTGAGTAGGGAATACATAAGGAACTCACAATCACAGTAGATAATGCTAGCTCCAATGATGTTGCGATCAAGTATATAAAAAAGGCTAAACAATTGGAAACATAGCATTTTAGGAGTGATTACCTTCACATGAGGTGTTGTGCACACATATTAAATCTAATTGTCAGAGAAGGTTTGAAAGATTTGGATGACTCAATTTTTAGAATTCGTTCGGCGGTTAGATATGTTAGGTCATCACCAGCTAGGATGCAAAGGTTTAAGTTGTGTGTTGAGAAAGAAAAATTGAGAGCAAGGGTTTAGTTTGCTCGGATATTGGAACTAGATGGAATTCAACATTTTTAATGCTAGATGTTGTCGTGAAATTCGAAACAACTTTTGACAAGTTGGGGGAGCAGGATTTTAAGTATAGAGATGAGCTTTCAAGTTCAAAAATGAAGGGTCTACCTACAGACTTAGATTGGGACCATGCTCGTGCTTTATTGCCATTTTTAAGAGCCTTTTATGATGCTACATTGAAGCTGTCTGGTTCTTCATATGTTACTAGCAATTATTATTTTCATATTGTGTTTGGCATTGGAATGAGAATTAATGATAAGCTAAATGATCCAAACTCAAGCATAAAACTTATGGCTTCAAATATGAGGGAAAAATATCATAAGTGTTCGGGGAATGTGAAAAATTTTAATCCACTCTTATTCATTTCTATGATTTTAGATCCTAGACATAAGATGGATTATGTAATCTTTTTTATTGAAGAAGTTTATGATACTGAGAAAGCTGAGCTGTTGAGTGAAATTGTAAGACAGACTTTAAGTGAGTTGTTTGATCATTATAGTTTGTTAAGTGGTAAATCCCAAGAGGAACCAAGTGTTGTTTCTCAATCTAATGTCTCTAGGGTTGAAAATGATGAGATGCTTGACTTGATTTCTTATTCCAAGACCAAGTACAAAAGGAAAAGGGCTGAAAGTGTGCTTAGTGAAGGAAAATCTGAACTTGAAAAGTATTTGGAGGATAAAGTAGAACCTGATGTTAAGAAATTTGATTTGTTTAATTGGTGGAAGAACAAAAGTCAGACCTATCCCATAATTTCTATAATGGCTCGAGATATTTTGGCAATTCCTGTATCTACAATGGCTTCAGAATATGCTTTCAGCACTGAAGGTCGTGTTCTTGACTCATTTCAGAGTTCTTTAACTCCAAAAATTGTTGAGTGTCTCATTTGTGCACAAAATTGGTTGAGAGCATCACCTGTAGCAATCCAAAAAGAGGAACAAATTGAAGAAATGTTGAACATTGAGAGTGGTAAGTAATAATTATATAAACACTTGTAAATATATTTTCTAACTCATTTCTGTAAATATTCTTACTTCTAAATATTTTTTGACTTTTAATAGGTTTCGAAGATTTAAGGCTAAATGAAACAATAATGACCATTGATGTTTGATCGAAGATGGAACACTTACAAAAGTAATTTCTATGATTTTATGTAATAAAGCTTATGACATGATAATATTTAAATATTGTTTCTGTTTGTGATATTAAAATATTGTTTTGATAATATATTAAATATTAGTTTTAAATTTAAATATATTTCAATTCAAATGTATTCTTATTTAAATTTTGTATGAAAATTTTATCCGTGTAATATAGAGATATTGATTGTTATTATAATGCTATTTATGCTTTACCTAATTACTTATATACATTAGGACTTTGTGATTGATGATTGATCGAAGATGGATAACTTCAAGGCTAAATCACATGTAATTGATTATTAGTTTGTAATTGAGATAACAATGCTAATCTACCCTCTTCGCCTCTTATTCGATTCTCTCATATGCATGAGCCATGAAGTGGAATATGTTCATTGCAAAATCTCATTTATTAATTAGGAGGAAAGAGTTAATCAAAATGTGAAATAATGTTGCTTTTAACATAAAATATGAATTGTTATTGATTCGTTAATGTGTTGGTTTAGATTCTGGTCTGGATGATGGAGAGCTGACTGTAAAACTAAACTTGAAGGCTGAAAAGTTTTCAACATATGCAAATGAAAAGCTTGAGGTTGTTGGTTGTTCTCTCATGCATGGATGATTATAGTTTCAAGTAACTTTTTATTTAACTTTGATAGTTGAATTACACTTGGATTTGATTGTTTAATTTGTAGTGTGAACCGAACTGCGAACAATATATGGATTATAGTTTTTGTATGGATTATATATGTGGAATGTGGATCATCCATAGCAATGTGGATTATAGTTTTTGTATATATTATATATGTGTTTATTAAGATTACATATTTGGATTATATATGTGTTTTCATCATTTACTCTCTAATTTTTTTTGAATTTTTAGTTTCAAGTGATTTTTTCATTGAAAATCAAAGCAGTCAATGATTTTTTTCAAGTATGTCTAATAATATTTTCAGTTTATGAAAAATCGAATTACCGAACCGAACCGAAAAAATCGGTTTCACATATTTTGATTTTTTAACCATTCGCTTGCGGTTTAAATTTTAAAAAACAGTTTATTTTAGTTCGATTTAATTTTTAGTAAAAAATCGAACCAAACCGAACGGAATACACCCTACCCGACAATGCTACTATGGTGTTGTCCCCCAAAGTTCTGTCAAATACCTTCAATAGCCAAAAAAAATTTGGCTTTCGTTCATTTGAATATTTCCCAAAAATAAATTGCCCGTGCTTTCTTTCTTTACACAGTGACGTATGCGTCGTCAATGAATCTTGTCGGCCGGTCGCCACCGTCGACAGTGGCCGTTCGTTACGAAATTCTACCGGGTGACTCGTCTCGATCCTCTAAATAAAAAATTCGAGGGTCGGTTTTTTTTTTCCAGAAGATGCTCCGATTGTTGTGAAAAAGATGAAAATGTCCGGTTTTCTTTTCTCCGATCTGCTTTCCTCCACCATCAGATCGCTTTCATCCGGTCACCGGTGAAACCGCCTGTCGACTGGTATAACCATTTCTTCCCCTTTTTCTTTGTCTTATTTATTTCACCCACTCTTTCCTTTTGTTTTTCTGCTGATTATTCACTTCTTTGGGAAGAAACAAGCATGCAGAGTGGACAAAAAATGAATCAAAGAAAATAAAAAAAGCTCTTTTATTAATTTTGTGTATATGCAATTACGGTGATTGCTTCTCCCGATTCCCACACTGTTTTCTCATTCGATTTCCCCTCCCAATTACATTGTTTGCACGATTTTTTATAGCCACCAAAAGAAATCCTACACATTAAACAAAAAGGAAATCCTTTTTCCCCATTTTTTCTTGTTAATGCAGATTCGAAATCCTCCTTTTTTTTTTAAGATTCTTGATTTGGTGTGGATCGTTCTTGCCAAAAACGTTGGAACCAATATGATGGGGGAATTGTTGTAGGCACGTTGAATTTGCTCGTGGTCTTGTTGGGCCTGAACCGATAGGCTTCTACTGCAGGACTTGAAATTTGACTTGGACATATATTAAACCACATATAGTTAATTATAGCAATAATAATAGATAAATATAAATACCAGTAATAAATAGTATAAATGTAAATATAATGTAATAACGTAATAATAAATGCTAAAAGTAATAGAGTAATAAATAAACATAATATGATAATAAGCTATATAATAGTAACATATACAATACTAATAACTGATGATAAAATATATAAATTAGTCTCAGACGAAAATGAGTGTCTACAATCATACGGGAAAGACTAGTGTGAAAGCTACTAATTATGTTGAAAGACTTTTTTGCGTTAAAAGTTTCGGAAATACTAAATGGTCAATGAAAGAAGATAGAAGTGCATAATAAGAATGGAACAAGGAATCGAAGATGAAATTAAAGATTTTAAAGTTAAGTCGAAGGAATATTTATATCATAAAGCTAAGTATATACGAAATAACAAGGAAATGAAGAGAGAATTCTTATCCAAGGTGTATATGGAATAAAAAGTTGGTATAGATGGTTAAGCACAACAAAATTTATAATTAAGTATGGTTTTATAAGCATGATATAACAAGAAGTTGAAACAAGGTATTAAATGTCTTTGGAATTTTAGCAATTAATTTTCATATCTTGGTAGTAATGAAAGAGAATTAGTATGAACCTTGTTACAAGATTTCTTGGGAAATTCAACAAGAATGATTTGACTTAACTGATGGTGATTAAAGAAAGTAAATTTACGCACTTCATCTCTGTTCAAGTTCATTATTCTATGGATAAATATGATAGATGGTATAGAAAGTTATTCGATTATGAATTGTTTATTTCAATAGTATAATATAAATCTAAGGTTTATCTAGAGAAATTTTGAAAATCTTTGTATTATGTCTTGAGAATTCAATTTAAAGTCAGTGTTGTATTTCATTCATAGATGAACGGATAATTTGAAGGAACTAGTCAGATTTTATGGGATGCATAAAGGTATATGAAGCTGGATTCAAAATAACAAGTGAAAGGAATGAAGTTTGTATATAAGGATAATTATTAGACAAATATAATGAGAACTCCCTATGAAGTTCATATTGATAGAAATGACGAAGGTTGTGGAATTTTTATATATTCAAGGATTAAGATATAAGAGTTCAGAGATAGAAAGGAAGTTGAAAATAAGGTAGACATTATTCGAAAGAGTTATAAGATGGCCATCAATCGATAGAAATTTTAAATGGACTTGAAAAGGAAAGAGAATAAATCAAGTTAAGGATATAGTATTTTTCAAAGTCTTGTTGAATAAAAAGATATTATGAATTAGAGAACAAGGGAAGTTAAGTTGAAAGATTTTTAGTCTGCATGAGGTTATTAAAAGAAACAGTATTGATTAGTTTTATCTAGGAAAGGAACGAGAATTTATAAAGTATTTATATATTGGAATTTTAAGGGTATGATTTGGACTTTTAACATACTGTCTTATTGAAAAGTTTGAGATTCAAATGAGTTTGACTATGAAGAAGTATTGATAAGGATATTAAAGTAAGAAGTTAAAGTAATCAAGAGAACAAGTAATGTTATCTCTTATTCTTAAAAGGAAGCATAAGGTTAAGAAAGTTAGATAGAAATGTAAAGGATAGATGAAAGGTGATACCTTTATTGGTTGAATCAAGCACGTATTGAAAATTCGAGGATGAATTTCTTAACGGGTAGAATTGTAATACCCCAAAATTTTGGTTAGTGACCAAAATATAAATTTTGAAAGTTTAGTAACCAAAGTATAAACTTTAGAAAAGCTTATGGAATAAAAATGTAATTTTTAAAAGTTATATTTTTTAGCTCGTAAATGAATAGTGTATTACAAAATTGATGTGTTTGTGGGAATCATAATTTTGATTCAGGATTTGTAGTAAAAGCTATAATGTAGTAAAGTCCGATAAGAATTGGAATAATTGGATCGAACTAGAATTTTACAAAAAATTGAAGGATGATAGAAAAGGGTTGGAAATATTATTCCCATAATTTATAACAGTGAAATTTAACATGGATAAGTGGAATTAAGGTTGATTTTTCATGTTAAGCCAAAATTGTGAATTTTAGTAACTAAATTGCAATTTTCAAAAATTGCATAGGCAAAGGTGGAATGTCAATTTTTGTTGGTTAATCTTTAATTTTTGAATATTAAAATGGAAGATATTGTAATGACATGGTTGAAATTATCAAGATTCATTAATGGAAAAATGGTAAATTAGAATTAAATGAATTTTAAATTCATTTATATTATTATAAAGCCAAGCGTAAGGTGATATTTTTAAGGAAATTTCATGAAAAAATCAGCTTTCTTCTTCTTTGGTCGTGAACCACCATTTTTGGGTAAGCAAGCTTTTCGATTTCATTTTTAAGCTTCCATGGTTGATTTTTGGGTTAAGCTATTTGATAGAGAATTAATCTACTTGAAATTCTTTATCATTTGATATAATTATATCATGGAAAACATGCTTGGATGATGATATTCATGATTAGGGTTCATGAATAACATGTTAGATTTTGGTGATTTAAAGGTTGATTTTTATATTATTAGTGTTATAGATTAATTCCCAAGCATGGGTAATGATTAAAATCATCTAGAAAAATATATATTAAATTTGACCAAGCTAGGGTTTGTGTATAATTGATTTATTTTGGATTGAATTTGATGTTATGATGATTGGAATAACATGAATTTAATTATAGGAAGTTGAATTAATGCTTAAAATTGAATGAAAACTATGCCCTATTTATTTAAGTATATTCGAACATGAGGAATTAATTAAGGGAAAATGTTAAAAAATTTCCTATGGTCTATAATTGATATTAGAATGATTCTACATGCTTTGGAAGTTGTTTTGGATCAATATGGAACATTGTGATAGTATAGGGACTATTTTGAAAGTTTTGGAAATTATGGGACATTGGAGTATAAATGCTTAATTATAGGTGTTTATTGGTGAAATTTAATGTTTAAATGTTGAATTTGAAGTTAAAATATCGTTTTAGATCAAATTGCTAGAAATTAGAAAAAGTGGGTAGTTAATTCGAATTGTGCTAGAAAGTTGAGGATGTAATTGAAAATTTTCAAATGTTAAAGTATTAGATTTAGTGTAGTATTCTAATGCTGGAAATTAATATTTGGATGCCGATTTTGAAATAAGAATGATGATTTGGGACCAAATTACAAATTTGGTTAAGTTTATTGGTTTATTCAAAAATATTAGAAATTTTGGGGGTTAAATGATAAGTTTGCAAATGTGATTGTTTTATATTTAATTTATTATTATTTTTAGATTGAATTTATTATTCAATGCCGTAAATTTTGGTATTAAGTTTAGATTGAATTAAATGATGAATGACCATTTTGAATTACTTGGAAAAGTTAGTATGAATTCTAAAAGAATTCATAAATAGTGACTAAATTGTAAAGTTTATGAAAGTTGAGTAGTTTGGTGATGAATATGAATATATAAGGGATTGAAGTGTCATGACGGAAATATTGAAGTGAAATTATATCGAATATAAAAAAAGATTTTATTATTGGATTTAAAATTTGTTAATACAATACTAATATATACTTTGAATATTTTATGTTGTGTATATGATTTTATTTAGGCTGCGACATATAT